CACAGTTATTTCTTCTGTAGTCGCAGGCATCTTAAAAAGATTGCTAAAGACTTTGATATGGGATACTAATAAAGAAAGCTTAATTAATTATCGTTTTAATTAGTGGAGCCAGGCGGTTATGTCACGTGGAAGAACCGAAGTCATTCATGCGAAGATCCCGTCCCAGCTTTGAAATTTTGAAAGGGTGGCCCTTAGCAATAATTGCCAAGTAATGAAATAATGAAGGGAAGTATTGAACTTGATTACACCACAATAATTACTAGAGGCCGCTTTTTCGATATCATAAAGGTGCGATGGGTTCGCCGCATGAAGAACTTCAATTTTTCCATTTCACATAACCTCCTAACTCCACTAATTAAAAAGATTAGTTAATTTGACATTCTTAACCACTGCCACAACTGATGCCTCTAACCATCTTAAAGGTCCCCTGACACCAAATTTGCAAACAGGAGATGTTTGCGTTTGATAGTCCTGCATGCGTGGGCGCTTCTCACCGATGAGTAACGAGTGTTTTCTTTAGGGTATTTTGATTTGGTATTAAAGTAAGCGCGAGTGCTCATCCGAGTTTTCAGCACCTTGCGAAATCGCTGCTAGTTTTAGCTAGTATGACGTGAAGGCGGTCCCTCGTGGCGTTCATCAAGAAAAATTAGTATGCTGTCACGGGGTCGTGACGCTGATGAAGGCAGAGACGTCTTGTCCAAAATGAAATTGTTTCTTTGGCCGAACTTATGGCTGGTAAACAGATATTCAGATTTAGGATTACTGCCAGTTGGGCGTGTTGGTAAAGGTTCATGATGAAACAAGCGCAAAAATACACACACTCAGAGAGAGGAGTGTCACAAGCGCTTGTCTGTGTCCTCTCTGAGTGTGTGTATTTTTGCGCTTGTTTCATCAAGATATTCAGATTACAGCGATACACACTGGCACTGATAGTGGCGAACAGAGCGTGGACCGTCGATCAACTAACAAGGGGTGACTTGCGTCGGCATTTATGCATGTGCCGTCGAATATTCCAGCGTCATCGCCGCAGCGGCCACATAAGTTCCAGAAGAATCTGTATAATGTTCGCGTCGTGCGCGTTATCTTGACAAAACGATCTAATACAATGGTGAAGCTTCTAGAACACTGAGTCGTGGTTTGCGCTGACCGTCGCTGACATTCTTTGCCGGCGTAACCCGATTACAGCAAGAGCGAGAATAAGAAACGTGCGTGGCGTCGCAGAACACACACGGGGTGCACACTGACACCCACCCAACGAAGGCGCCTCTCTCGCTCTGTTGTTGGGTTTTTGTTGATGGCATTAATTAGCGTTGTTCTCGAAGGGCACTTCTCCGTCTGCCCCCCCTTGCTTGCTTGCTTGCTTGCTTGCTTGCTTGTGCGGCTATGTTGTGGCGTGTACCCACTACAGGGGATTGGCCATTAAAACGGCGGTTAATATAATGGGGGAAAAGAAATTCAAAATGTTGATGAAGGAAAAATAACTATTCAGCCATCTATAGGGACTATAAAATTGAACTGTCGTAAGGTTATGTAGGAATGAAACAGGTGCATTGAATTGAAGTGAATAAATAAGCTATAGTTCTAAAGACCTAGAATTGCATCGGGAATAACTTGACAAGTAAACGTTCTTGTGTCTCTAAGAAATTCGCAAACTGCTATTCGCAACTCTCTAAGAAATTAGCAAACCGTATTCCCAGGTGTGATAATTGACAAAAAAAAATAGATAGGAAGAAAGAGATGAAAAGTTAGAAGGCGAGAGAACGAGGGCAGAAAGATAATGAGAAAGAGCGAAAGAAAATAGGAAAAGGAGGAAAAGAAAAAGATACAAAGACATAACAAGAAATACAGAGAGAAGTAGATACAAAGATGCGTACACCAAAAGAGGTAGAAAGAAAGAGAGGTAGCAAGCATATACGCGTGTAATATATTATAACAAGGAATTAAGAGGTGAGTGGTGAGACGTTGAAGTATGGCGCAATGTTGTGTAGCACGACAACGGGTGGCAGAGGGAGTTGAGGGTGGAGAGGAGGAAATTCTATATTTACAGCACCCCGCTGACCACAGATTGACGAGGGAAGAATTTTTTTTCATTGCTGAAGAGCCACAACTGGATTGATCAATTCAACGCACAGGTCCGGTGTGCCACCCCTCTGGCACCGCAACTGCGTTCAAGAACACCAGAAGGTCAAACTTTCCGAAACCCTTCCACTACGGCGTTCTTCATAACCATATCGTGGTTGTGGGAGGTAAAACGCCAACAATTACAATATCGATTACACCTGTCCATAATATATCCTGCTCCGTTTCGGGGGCGCGTCCTCAAGTGCTGCAGGCGTTTGCCCAGCATTGCGTCGCGCGTCCCTCTCATCGCGCAGTTCTCGGCCAGCACCTTCGGCTGGCTGTTGACTCGTTCTGCTCGGCGTGCTCGCCTCCTGTCAGCCGGCGCAGAATCGCCGTCCACGCGTGGCTCTCATTTATTCGCGGACGCACCCGGAGCGAAGAGGCGAAGCTTTCTTCGCCAGGCCGCAGCTGGCGGAGCGTGCGACGACGTCGTGTCACCTTTCGCTGGTCATTCGGGTCGCGCGCCGAGAATTGAATGACGCTGGGCGCGCCTATAAAACAGTGGACTCCACATCCCTTCGGCTCTGTCCACCGTTGTTCCATTCGTCGTACGGACTTGTTACTGAAAGAAGAAACCCATAGCGTGCAAGTGATCGCACGGGCCACTCCGTCCTGGTGCTACAGGAGTGATAAGCAAGAGGTGTACTGTCGTTCCACGCGCAACTTCACCGGCAGCGGACGTGAGTATATATCGTGCACGTGTTTTGCAGCGTTGCTCTACATGGCGCAATGATGTTGCGGTCCTTGATTGCAAGGGAACTGTAATGAAGAAACAACGCCATGATAACCTCGAAGGGTCTCCGCGTTTGTAATTTCTCTGAAGGTTTTGTTAACATACGTAGCGGATGATGCATGCCGCTGCAGGAATAGCTACCCACAACAAGCTTTAGGTGTTCTTAACATTGTTTAAGCTAACGTAACCAAACGCAAACTTCGAAGCAGGGATCTCTGTGCTGATAGAAAAAATCGGAACATTTCGATCGTTCAGAGCTAGGCACTATAGGGCCACATGTTTCAGCTTCGCTCTGTACAGTGCTTGGGCGATGACTTCTATTTCTTTTTTTCTCGCATTCCGTGTGTATATTCGCGGACAACCTTTCTTGGCAATGAGGAGAAGGCTACAAAGCCCGATCGCGCGCATCCTATACCGTTAATGAATGTATGGTCTCACAATTGCGTTCGTATTTTACGCCTGAGATATATAAAAATACTCCTTAACTTTCTCCATGTAGCTCTTTGAGACAGGACGCAGCCTATATTAGTGAGATATCTGTATTTTTTTCACTTCATACGTTGTCACATTGTGTTTTATCACGCGTGAGAAAGTCGCGCCTTTTACGGGTGCCTCTATCACTATAGGCGACGTCTACGAAGCGCTCATTGCACGCAGTTAGTCACTCTATAGCACAGACATCAATTTTCACGGCGGGGGAAAACGCGCGCTACACTGGACTACGTCGCGTAAAAGCTCCGCCCTCGCATCTATTCCTTTACTGCCAAAAAAAGTTGTGCGCGAGTATATATACAGACAAACAACTATATATGAGTGGTCGGGGGATGCTTTAAGCAAACAATTTCCAGTATTTTCCAACCCATGGTACCTAAGCTTTATGCAATACCGGAACACCGAGTCGTGCCCTCTATAAAGGCCTTCATGAAGGCCTTTAGTGGGTACTCTGTTTGAAATCCCTTTGGTGGACCTGCATGTACGCGAAAGGGACTTAGGCAAGCGAGGTAGCTAATGCTGGAGCTGGATAGCTAAGTGCTGCCTAGCTCAGATTCAGCATGAAACAAAGAAAATTCGCGTATAGCTGAGAAGTATACTATACCGTATGAATTCGTATTCACGAACGTGCATGAGACGCGGCAGCATATATGTTTGTAAAGTGTCCACATTTACTTCATCTGCAATGACCCATAACGTGTAAAGTTTCTTCTGCAAGGACTTGAAAGGCCACTCTTCTCTGCGGTTGTGAACGCGTGGACAATTCAACGCGCACGGTATCTTGTTTTTAGCGCATTATGATTGATTGCAGTTTCTCAAAATTGCTTCCACAATTAGGCTCTGCTTTTAAAGGAATGTGTCTTCTAGGTGAATTTTGGCATGCGCGTTATCTATTGCCTCTCTGGTGAAGCTCTGATGATTCTTTGCGGATTGCGTTACGCTACGCGTTGACAACACTTGGAGGATATTTTAACGCCTGCGTATATTGACAAAAGGGAGACGTATAAACACAACTAAGATATGTACCATCGCCCTTTTGTCCTTGCTTGACGACATTAAAATGATATCTAAGATCGTATATAAATTCTTTACACAGCAGGCTAAACAGACGACAGTTAAAGTCCCCCCAGTTTTATTCAGGGTTCTAAGGACGGCACGTCAGGGTGAAAAAAATTAACGCTCTTTCAAGTGGTCCGCCAGAATGTCTCCGCAGTTTTTTGTGAGAAAGACATACTATTACATTGAAGGGGCACCGAAATTTATAGCATGTATAAAACCCGTGTTTTCGTTGTTTATTTGTGAGAGCGGGGGGGGGGGGGGGCAGTTTGTTTCATACGTTGCATTCCGCGAACCTAGTACAGCGATATTGCATACACTCCAGCACTTGCAAGTATGCTTCAATAACTACAGTGATAGTAGTAGTAGACACGATTTTCGTTTGAATTACGCGAAACGAGAACATGCGAAGGAGCTCTTTGGAAGCGCGTGATCGTCCATTCAGCCCAGGTATCCCTTGTTTGCGCTTTCATTCGAACTGGTCACTCCGAATGATGGCAAATGGAAACTTAGCTGGGTCGTGCGGGAACACTATATATTGCTTAAGGACAGTGATATGGTAGCATAAACTCAAGGCATGCTCTTGTTTCCATAGGACATGCCCCGTGGCCTGCGCTCGCTCCTGCTGTTATGCTGCCTGCTGGCGCTCGCACTGCAAGGTGTCCTGTGCGACCTCGGCTCAGACGCATCGCAACAGGACCACGAGCAGCAGCTGCTGCACCACAACTCGCACCAGCAGCCTCCGTCGACCACACACCAGCAACTCAAGGCCGAGCGATCGGGCACGTACTACCTGCACGACGTAGACAACAAGGCCCGCTTCGGCGTTGCCGGCCTCGGAGGCTCGGGACTGACCATACTGCTGCCCATCCTCTTGGTGCTCGGCTTGTTTGTCATCATCATACCGATATTCGGGCTGCTCTTCACCACGAGCCTCGCCGGAGGGTTCGGAGCGGGGGGTTTCGGAGGTGGCGTACCCGGCGGACTCTACCCGGCTGCCTCGGCCGCCGGACGCAAGTGGGCCGGCGCGGATTCACCGCTACTGAGCCAGGAGAACGTCATCAAGATGGTCAGCTTCGTCGACAAGGCGCTCCAGGACTTCGGAAAGCAGTTCAAGCAGAAGCAAAGCTAACTGCACGTATCGCACAGTGCGTTGCTTCTAGAGACAGTTCGCCCTGGGTTGACCCATGCACATGCGCTTGCATTAGAGGACTTTTGAGTAGATTTTAACACTGTGAACTTAGCGATGGGTGGTAATTATTCATACAGTTTTACAACAGGGTACGTTCGTTGGGTACGATATCCGATACGTATGACGCAAGACTTTGCGTACTATATTCTAAAGCTCTCCATTATCATTTGGTTTTAATATATGAGGAAGACGCAGCTGCACTTGCAGTCGTGCTCACAACCGAGAGTGAGTTACAGCTGCGTTTATGACGCTTGCACTGGGACAATGACGAAGCCGCAATCTGCAAAGCACATCACCTTCTCCGCGCCGTTGAGCTATATGAAAGAGCAGTATAGCCAGATTCATCGCGCTTATTTGTAATCTAACCATACATCTGTAAAACACAGCGGGACGTCACAAACAGGCAAATGTTGAGAAACTTGGAGAGGTGCTTCCAACAAACACAATTAATTGAGAAGCCGCTTCGAATATAGTGATCAGGGCGTTATGGCAAGCAATATGCGGCGACACGCGCATGCAATTCGGACGCGGTGTTTGCAGTTGGTAGCATGTGATGGAAAGAGCGACGCAATAGCTTAAGAGTTTCTATAGTTTCGGTTTGTGGCTAGGTGAATCCGCCAATAGCAGGTACCACCATGTAAGGTTCACGTCGTGCTGCTTACGGTTCAGTCATGACATGAGGGCTGTGTCTCCTATACTGAGCGCTATACTCTACTTTTCTGTCGCGTTTTTAAAGGGTGAGGTTTATAACTGTACACGTACGCATATTCAACTGCACACATTGTTACCACTTCAACTGCTGAGCAGAAAAAAGCAGTCCGTATACTGAGTGTTACTTATGATCAATTCACTGTACAAAAAAAAGGCGGCACGAGCGTGGAAATAACTTTTTTAGCGCTGTGTTGTGTTATTGTATACTTATCAAGCTTACACTTAAGTTTCCAACTAAGATGCGCATATATATATATATATATATATATATATAGCTGCCAAGAAAGAAATTCCGCGCGCGTACGGTTCTAATTTGACTCCAGGACCTAACACGCGTCCTTCGACAAATACTATGCTCATACACATTGTGCAGTGTTCTGTACCGTTATCCAAAAATTTATAGCATTCATGTTTGCTTACATATACTATAGCTTACGAATGGCTTGAATGTTTCGTGGTTTTGATCGTTCTAGCGGAGTATACAAAACACATAAACTTAAACACCGCTTTCATGAAGAAAAAGTTATGAACTATCTTCCCAAAGAGAACCCTGATGGGATGTGATGCAGCAGTTGTGCGCACGGCATTGACCCGGTTGAAACGGATGTCGACGTGGGTGCTGCAAAAATGGTTTGAAGCGAACTTGATGCGGCGTTTACTCGAGTAAGCTTTTGTTTTAAACGCAAAGACATGGGAGGCGGGTTGGGTTTTGTGTAAGTTTCATGGCATATAAACGAGCCGAAAGAGTGTTGCCACTCGACGTGCAGTCGAGCGTTGCGGGCGATGGAGAGGGTGAAGCGAGAGAGAAGTGTGTTCCGAGCGGGCGGAGGAGCTGGTAGCTGCGGGTGCTGCTTCGAGCGTGCTGCGGCTGAGGGAGAGAGTGAAGCCAGCGTGCCTGCGAGGGGAGCGTGACCTCAATGCGCAGCTGCGGCGTAGCCTGCTTGGCACCGCTCCAACACCTGCGGCGAGGGGAACGCACTGCGGCGCATTCGTATGGACGCACTGTATGTACGGCGTTATACACGCGAGTCATAGAGCTGCTTCACAACTAAAAAAACGTTGTATAGTTGAATTCATAGATACTAGACCTTAAACAGCTCACAAACACACGTGAATGTGCATGTCTAATTTAAGAAGCACTGTGATAACGCTAACCCTTTCAGTCACGGCGTCCACATTTGTGGACGCGAACTTCAAAGTTCCGTAACACGCCGCCAGTTTTTTTTTTTTAAATGGCTCGAAACTTGGTGTGCACATTCCTGCAGGCTCCCTGAGTGGACAACTAGTAGTCATTTAATTTATTTGGGTTCTGTATTGCTCCAGAGGATCATTTTTCTAGAAACACTACCACGTTCGACGATCGTTCGACGTTCCGCGGTCTAGGGCCAACGTGAAAAGTTTTTTTTTTCCTGTTCGGAATGAATACTACCAAAAAAACAAACTTTGTGTGCAGTTTGGGCCTAATAGTGTAGTCTTTTTATGCAAGTACTGAAGCTGGCTGGTAGCTGAATAGTTATATAATTAGTCGCCCACTAATAAACTTTAATAATGAAACTAACACAAAACAACACAGCGATTCATTTATTTTCTTTCTTGGAATGTAATACTGAGGGCTTTGGAATTAGCCGCGCGAATTAGACGTGTTTCTGACAATGGCGTCATAATTAGTCTCTAAAGAGGCTAATGAAGAATATGTCAATATTTACGCGTAATCTAACAAGGGGCTTTGAGGCTGTAAACATGGCACGTGTTGTCTTGAACACTGCAACGTAGACGCGCCACCTTTAATTAGCAGCGTCCACATGAATGATTCAGCGGGGGGGGCTTCTGAATAGCGGTAGCATAGCCCGGAAGCTGTGTTTCAACACGAAAGTGTTTAATGCCGGGTTTCACTGACGTGCTTCCGTCACGGATATGACGTTGTTAAAATTTACACGAACAGGATATTTTTGTTCTTCTGGCTCAATGCACTGAAAGTGATTGCGAAGCCACAATCACGTCGTGGTTGCCATGTTTTCGACATATCGCATGCTTTCCGTCGTCATCATGGTGTACTATAGGATATTGGGTTATAGCCATCAGCCTCTCTCAACTCTTTCAGGCTATACGCTATCTCTTTCTGTACACAGTGCGATTGCTTCAAGTGAACCTTTATGCATCTCGCGCTCTGGATCTGGTGCCAGAAAGCAGAATAAACGACCGCTTAGTTTTCGTCCACGCATTTCCTTCTTTTCACTTCGCCGAAGTAGAGAGTTAATGGTGATTGACATTCTGATTAGATCTGACGACATGATATACCTCTCACAGTCAAAATTAACCTGAAAGCACTATCCTTAGGCACTTATTGCATTGCATCCCGTAGGAACGTGGTAACGCGATGGTGATCGAACCCTCGACCTCGTGCTCAGCAGTAGAACGCGAGCGACGCTACATGAGCGCAATGTCCCGTGCTTCAAAATGCTTGGAGGTATGCATGCTCAGTGTGCGCAAACCGTGCATCACGCACAGCACTGTGGCATTTCTTCGAGTGTGACTAGTCATGATTACGGCCGCAATACAAAACCACAATAGGAGAACGTTTCATGAATCTACGCATCCGTAACAGGTAACTAAATTTCCGTGGCGTGACTGTACAACGTGCAAAGTTGGCTAGCAATCTGAAAGCCATTTTACATGGATACTACGAGTCATGAGCATGCTAATCAAACTCAGTAGCTTATTGCTACCGGTTAGAAAAATATCCAGAATTTTAAGAAAGGCGGCAGCCCCCCCCCCTCTCTCTCCAGCCCCCCCCCCCCTCCGCACGCCCATGAGCATAGATATAGAGTGCTAGGTTGCACTTTCGGCTGGAAGCTAAAGTCGAAACAACATTACGCCCTCTGTCAGCTTTTGTTGAAAAAAAATCAAATGACACTGCTACGACGAAACCTATTGCGGGAGGCTATTCGGATATATATAGTTTAGTCTAATAGGCTCGTCAAAATAGCAGGATATAACAGTAGCGTAGTTAGAATTTTGTTTCGGTGAGGACCCATCCTTGATCTGAAGTGGGAGCCGGGAAGGCAGCTGCGGTCGAGTGTAATTTTGTGCTTCTGAGTCCCACTGGCAGAAAAAAATCTCGGTGAGGGTCACGTGTCCACTGTGCTACCCCCTAGCTACGTCACTGGCGCACAATCTTTCTTGCAATTAGTACTCGTAGTTATGGAGCCGTCACATCCGCGACCTCTTCCTGGGAACCTATAGTGCGTCATGACATTCTCTGAAGTCTGCACAGCGACAACATCAGGAGAGTGTGGCGTCACAACCGACAGCCTGTGGCTTTAAGTGGTCCTCGCAACCGTTCCGTAGTACGGCGTTATGAACTTATCCAAGTCCTGATAATCAGCCTTTAGGTTGAATTGTGATCGCACATATCTTTCGATACTCAAGTGAGACTATATAATTTCTTTCACTCTTGTTCATTTATGTCAACAACGCGTGATTACATTAGAAACGACACGTTAAATTCACAAGAAATAAATACACGATGTACTTTCGAATTAAGCTGAACGCGCAAAGAATCGATGAGCAGAATAAACATTGTAATGCACCAGTTTTCTTTTTTTTTTAATTTGACGTTTAACGAGTTGAACCTTACGTGAAAACTTCTGCGCTTACATTGCCCAAAATCAATCTCAAATGCAACAAAATTTTACTAAAAACGCCTACTTGAAAAAACCTGAAAAAACCTGAAAAAAGCCTACTTGAGATCAAAATCTTGAGATTCAAAAGTACGTTCCTCCGTTGCATATTGTCCCACATAGAGTCACTATTCGCAAGTTTTTTTGAGTGAAATGCCTCCAAACACCGCTTAGTGTTTGCTTTGTTGCACGACATGCCATGACACGGTGAAGCCAGCTTGCCGTTGAGAGCGCACATGGAAACGTGGCGGCAATCGAAAGTTCCACAATAAAGTCAGCTCGAGTGGTTTAAAGGTAATGGTGGATTGCGAAATAGCATGCGATATTTCAAATAGATCCTATCACGCGTGCCTATGCCAAGTCAAGGGTTATCAAGAAGTTCGCAGACGTGGCTACAAAATGTTTCCGTTGGGGCATTTCAGGATCACCTTGGCGCACGCCCCTTGGGGTGAGAAAGCTGGGCGACAGAGAAAAAGAGGGGGGGGGGGGGGTTGATTCTGTTATGCCATAACTAAAACAGGGAAAACCTCAGGATGATGCCTTTATGCC